TCCTGCTGATGTCAGAGCTCTGATGTGTTGTTATAATTTGCACTGGCTGGGTGAACTCAGCTGCTGCCTCAGTCATGTTCACCTTTCACCTAGTTCTCATCTGCAGCCATTAGAAACAGGGATGCAAGTGTAAAGATACTCAAGTTATATGTTTTTATTAATTTATAATGTTATAATGGTCCATAAATTTCCGTTTTTATTCCCCTCTTTTTCCTATCATGCGCCTGATCCTTTTTAAAGACTTGACACTACACCAGTGAGGTTAAACTGTTCCCCAGTTCGTCTGTGCCCAGACCAGCCCGGTACAGTCTGGGTGGAAGCGCTCATTGGTGACTCCAGTCACGGTTCAGATGGGAGCAGCAGCTGTTTGGCCTGGCTGCGCAATGAGGGCATCATTTATTGCCTTTTACAATTACTGCAAGTCACAGCATGAGCACTGACTAAAGCGAAATTGATAACGTCAGTGGCACATTTTAGCTTCTCCACTACTGTTTATCGCAGCAGAAAAAAAACCATTAGTGGTAACTGAAATAAAGCGATAAACCAAAGAAAAATATATAGGCTATATTGATTTGATTGGCTGAATTACATTTTGAGAAGTCAGCCTTATTTACTTTACTCAGATAATAGTGTTAATGGCATCCTGTCTTAAATGAATAATGCAGGATGTCCACCAGATGATGTTCGTGGCGTCACGCTGGGCAGAGAAACGTGTCCCACATTGATTAGAGGCCTTGAATTTAATTGCCGCTGATTTAAGCGTTTCTAATCCTTACTAAACAGATGGTCTGCCACTTTCGGCGTTAGATTTGGTGTAGTCGACTTAAGAGAGTGTCAGAAGATTTGTTTTCTTACCGAATGGTGAGTCGCGTTGCTCCGCCACGCCACTGTGCTCGGAGCCGTTAGTGTTGCTGCTCCGTGAGGAGGGTCTCTGCCGTGACTGCTGGATCTGAGGAAGTTTAAAATAAGTAATGAAACTGCAGGAAATATTGTAAAATGCTTAAGAAATGTTTTGAAATGTAATAAATAATAAGGTACAAAAACCAGTTAACGACAGTTTGACATGGAATTCAGACGTCTGTGATTACAAACTGTGAGGTGTCCTCACTTGGCTTTGCAGGGTCCTGATGCGCACATTTTGCTTGTCAAGCTTTTCCTGTTGGAGTCCGATCCTCTCCATCAGATCATCAATGCGTCTGTTCTGAGCCTCTAGCATCAGCTGACAGAAACATAACACAAAGGCTGTTAGCGCTTTATCAACTTCTACACCGCACTTGTGCGTAAAGACGCTTTGGAACTTCATCACCAAAGAGGCACCTGAATTAAAACGGGCCACCTGCATGGTTTTATTGAAAGGCCTGAGGCATACGCCGCAGACACATTTCCATCCTTGAATAACAAGTGTTTTTCTCTTCCAGCTGCCTCTGTTGTGGTTATGTAACTTGCTGACAGCTCGGAGTTTTCCATCCCACTATAAAACCTTCCAGACTCACACGGTGGTTTGTAAAGGGAAAGCAAAGAAATCACAGCTCTCATAAGCCCCTTCAACTGTGTTATATTAACGAACTGAATACTCTCCAGGTTATGAAATATTCCCACTGTGGAAAACGATTCACACAGTCATGCGGCTGATGCGTGCAGACCTCATTAGCTTGTAGTGTCTCCCTGCACGTACTACACGTTCTTCCTCCACACTGCAGGGAAGCTCCCCTCCTCCTCGCCTAGTGCTTGGCCTCTGTGCATTTTGACTGTCATTTGAGTTGAGAGAAAAAATCTCCACCATACAATTCAACTTGGACGAATCCGTTTGTCATTTTAACCATCTGCTGCTGCGCAAGAACAATACGTGTCCTCTGTTGGACTTTCTGGGACCATAATGAAGAAATTACTATAGTGTTTTGCATACAGTGAAAAAACTCAAGTAGCCTCATTTTCCCCCAAAGCTAATGTGACATGCGTTTGCTTTCCTATACAAATGATCATCCCCAGACTCGGAAACGGCTCCACACTCACCTGGATATTGCGAGCATCACTGCTGTTCCTGGCATCAGCTCCCTGCAGCATGCTGTTCACCCTCTCCTCCAGCCGGCTCATCCTCTCACTCATCGTCTTCCTCTCCCGTTGCATCTCCTCTGCCTTCTCCCTCAGCTCGGCCGTGACATTCAGCAGCTGACCCTCTCTATCCTCCAGTCCACGGGCGCGACCCTTCAGGGCTTCTCCCTCTACTCGCAGCCTCTGGCTTTCCTTCCCCATTTCGTTCACCGTGCGATTAAAGACTTTCAGTGTGGCTGAAATGTCCCTCATCTGGGCTTTGGTTTTGTCCACGTGCTCTTTCAGCCCCTGGCCCAGCTGCAGCAGACCATGGGCAATGACATTCACTTCATCCCACGGCGCGTACTGTACACGTCTCTCCTTGGCAGCGCCGCCGGAGGCTGAGCCCCCCTTCCTCTCGAAAGGGAAGCCTGTGGCCATGAGCACCACCAGGCAGAGAGTCAGAGCTGCCAGTGTTTTCATTTTCCCCGTTGTCCTAAATGGTTGATATCCTGCTTTAAACGGTGTAGTTGTTGCAGAGTCCCACCTCGTCTTCCTGTATTGTATTTGAGAACTCAATCTCCTTGCTAAACATCCTCAGCAGCACTTTTATATAGCTTCACAGCCCTCACCTCCAGGCTGTCAGCTGCCTGTCATTGGCCAGCCGATGAGAAGGAGGGGTGCAGTCACTCTCAGGTTTCTGTCCCTCCTCCGCAACCATGTCAGACCTGAAACAAAAAAGACTGGCTTTCATCTCTGCGCTGGCGAACACAGGGATCACTTTATCCAAACTACACAGATGCTAACCCCAGTAGTTGCATTTCTAAGCGAGCGTATCCATTGGTGAACCTTGAGAAACATCCTGAAATTGGTTGATAGCCCAGTGGTGTCAGAAGCCTGATTTAATGCTGCTAGAATAAAACGTGGCACTGCGTTTGGACAGTTTGTCCACACTCGTGAGTCCAACACATAAAACAGCAGATGTGAAGAAGTCTTGCATCCTTGTTTAAAAGTTAATTTTTACATACCAGGAAACATTATTCACTGTAACCAAAGAGTGAAAATAGATGTATTCGGCTGAATTCTGAAAGTTGCAGATGCCATTATGGGCTGCCAACGGGACATCGATGCCAGTGGAGGATGAAGCCCATAGAGAGAAATCAACAGCTCTCTTATAGTCATGAATCAAAGTCTCATATGTGTTCAGTTTCCTGTGTCCTTGATCCGAACTGAACCTGTTTCTGATTGTCATTCACTCTGTGGATCTTTTTATTATTCCGTTGTCTGCCTCACATTTGTGTCTGAACACATTGTGCCTATTAAGATCTTGGCTGTTTTGCATGAATGAGAGAAAATAGAATATGTATCTTTTATTACTCATTTAGATTCATTTAGGGTTGATAAAAATTCAAGCAAAATTAATTGACCTGCCAAACAAGAGGCTAATGCGTTTACAGTTGATAGTGCCATTTTATATTGAAGCAACAATTGCGTCTGTTAAGCTACCTGTTATGACAGGATCATTTATAGTTTATCTTAAACCTAAGTGACCTGAATGCAACCATAGTTCTTCATAACAATCCCAGTAATCTAAAGAAATGTCGTTTTATCTAACAGATGAGGTCATAATTTAAAACATACTGCACAGAGAAGCAGCTGTTGCATAACAAGTATATCAGGGGTTTCCTATAACCATCTCCCCCTGTGATATGGTGAGGAAGGCATGAAGTCACTGACACGTCAGGATGGGACTGTGAGAATTAGGGGAGAGGCCACCGCGCACAGTCTCCGTCTCAGGCCGTACGTGACCAAAGAAGGAGCCGTTTAACCCTCTCCTGTCTGCAGCGCAGACTAAGTAGGTGAAAGGTGAACGGGGGACTGCTGACTTTGCGGAGAGGGCAGCCTCTGTTCCTCACGTACGCGTCTGAAATGTGTTCAGGTTAAAAACAGGCGTTTCTTATAATCAAAACTCAAATCAGATCAAATTTTCTTTGTATAGCGCCAAATCACAACAAAAGTAATCTCAGGACACTTTACAAACTAAGGTCTAGATCTTACTGTTATCAATATTATTACATAGGGAAAACCCAACAAATCCCCCTTGTGCAAGCACTTGGCGACAGTGCATAACATAACATTTTAATTAATTTCTTTTAACTGGAGCAGCGAGGTCAGTGCAGGCAGACTGGGTGTGTTTGGTTTACACCCAATCAATTACGGAGACGCTTTACGGTATGTTCACATTACAGTAGCCCACAGCAGGACTGTCACTGAATAAAATCGCGTTTTTAGATTCGCTCAGGTGTTTAAAAATTTTAAAATATTCATTATGTAGAATGGCATATTTCACAACTTAATATATATAGTATTATTGTTGCATTATTGTCACATTGTCAGATCACATTTTATGTTGCAGCTGGTGAAGGTGGATCTAATTGTAACTACCTTAAGTAATTTGAATAGGTAACTTGTGAATTTCCCATCAGGGATCTGTAAAGTCCGATGACTATACTGTGGTTTGTTCTGGTAATCAGATTCTGAAAAGTAACTAAAGTTATCAGATAAATGTATTGCAGTAAAAAGTATAATGTTTTCATCTGAAATATAGTGAAGTCAATGAAGTACACAAAATGAAAATACTCAAGTAAAGAACAAATAACTGAAAATTGTACTTAAGTACAACGCTTGAGTAAATGTGCTTAGTTACTTTACACCTCTGGACCTAATGACTGATAGATGGCCGTCATGACAGTAGAGGTGAAGAATACACGCCTTGTTACAGATCTTGGGAGGGATGTCAATAAATGTATAAACATGTGAAAGATGATTTGCATCTTTTGGCTTTGTGACATCTGGGAGACAGTTTTCTTTAAAGGTGCCTGTGAGGTGCATTTTGAGGAACATGGCTGAGCGTGGTGGTTCAGATGAATCAGAGCTATATGTCAGCCAGGAGGAGCTGTCTGCTTAGGGGATGTTTGAAGTACAGTGTACTGTATGTAGGTATATGAAATGGGTTGAAGCTGATGTTGTAACTGCCATTGTTCAAACTAACAGGAGAAATCCAGTTTTGCTTGATATACAGAATAGTCATACTGTAACTGCAGCATGATTCAGGCTTGTTTGCATCATGACCAGACAGAATTGCACAATAGTAGTTTATCAAGACATTTAATAAGACATTGTCACTGTCAGCGTTTCAGACCCTTGTGACCTGATCAGTATGTGGAAGAAATATTGAGATCCTCAGTGCAAAAATGAACAAGTAAAAGTCCTGCATTATTATCCAAGCAGAGTGGTGCATTCACATTTAAGCAGCATTTTAATGTTGCACCCTGACCAAGTCAAAGCAAAGCCGAACTAGTACAAGCATACTGTTGGGAAGCTTAATATGTAAAAGTGCATCATATTTCACAAGATGTTATAATTTGTATGTATAATTTGAATCTACAAAGTGATGAGTAACTGGTGTAGTGGAGTAAAAGTATAAGGTGGCATCAAGTGGGAATACTGAAGTATCTCAGAATAGTATTTAAGTATAGTATTCCACCACTGGATTTCATCTAACAAGGAATAAAACCAGCTCAAACTAGAATAACCAACACAATGTCTGTCACAGTGTCAGTGGACATGATGTTTTTTAACCAAGCAGATTAAATAAACATAGGCTACATTTCATTTGTTTAATGTCTAGAACAGTAGACAAAGCTTTGAGGATCTGTCTCCTCTATATCCCATCACTCCTACTCCACACCTCACCGCAGCCGCTTGTTCAATTTCCCAAAATGGTCACTCCCATCTTTAGCTGGCATGGTGACCTTTTACCCAGATTCCAAGCACAGAACATCTGTATAATCTCAGTGTTGCCCCTAAGCCTATTTTGCATATGTAAAGCACTTGAAAGCTCATGACTGGGTTGTCACTGAGCAGAAACATTCATCGGGATGGGCTGGACAAGGTACAGTAAAGCTAGGCAAATGGCAGAGAGCTGTTATCATTAAACATGACAATGGCTGCTGCTTTCTGGTTTTACCATGAAAATGTATAGACACAGAAGATTTATGTTTATGGTTGAGGTGTAATCTGCAATGTACACTTTGCCAAAGATTGATTTATAGGCTTTTACCTACATAGCATGAAAAGCACAGGTGTAATCAATAACATGAATGATGGCTCTGTTTCATCAAGTATTAGTGTGCACATTACCAGGACACTAAAACTAAATGGACACCACCGAAATGGAAATCAGCTGTAATAAAACTGATTACAGTTGTGCTTCTGCTGCTTATGTATAAATGTCATCCATTAATCAATTTGACATTGTTGTATCCTGTTTCTATCACCACTGAAATGACCCCATAAACCTCACCATTGCACAGAGAAGTTTATAACTGGGAGATAAAGTACATTTCATTGTTTTCTGCCATCGTGTAAATAAATCAGTATGGCTGACACTGACACGTACACACTCACAGAGCACACAGACACAGAGGAAAACCTCCAAGTGGTGCAAAGCAAGTGTGTAACATTCTTTTTTGTTCAGGATTAACCCCTGCTTATTTATGCAGTGAGACTCCTTTGGTGAGTGTTTTACTATCGTGCCCTGGGAACTGGCTGTGACGTGGTACTGGAGCAAATGTAAAACTGCAGTTTTAGTTTACAGCCTCCAGCAGTCCAGAGAGATGAGGCACGGCTTGTTTCACCTCAGATTTGGTTCAGCACAAACAGGCTCAGGCAGGAGGAGCAGGCAGAGAACTCTGGAAGCAATCCTTTGGTCAAGGCTGGTCCCAGTTTTATATCACCGTGCATGAAGAAAACCGTTTGGTTCCCACACAAATGTTTTGCTTCAGCCTTTTTATGAGGCCAAAACTTTTAATATCTACACTCGATTAGCCTTTGTGGCATTCTGTAGAGTTTGCACAATTGGAATTTGAAACATGTTTCTTAGAGGTCAAAAACAAGTTATGTAAGACAAGATATGCTCTGTTGGTGCAGCTGATAAAAATTTTTAACCAGCGCATACACAAATGTCATTCAGACATGTACCTTTCTTGCATGCTTAGATGAACATGCATGCACACACAGTTATCTTCTTTAACATTCTGTACCACTTGGTTACACATGAACAGACATGTGCTACATGATAAAAATCAGTTTTTGTTGCTGCTTCTGCTCGACAGTCTTGTGTTTTGTTTTGGCAGGAGATACTTTTGCTTTCAGACTGGCCACAGACTGGTTTTACTATGGTGATGGAACACAGAGTATGCTTCGTGCTTTTTCCTCAGTTCTTTAACTGCTTGTGGCCTAAATGAATGTCCCAGCAGGCAGGAAGCAGAAAAGTACAAAATGTACACATACTGTATCCCAGAACTAGACATAATGTACTATACAGCATGCTTTGAGTTTTTTTTATGGTGATGGAAATCTACAGTGATTTACAAGACCTTAGGCTTTACCCCCTGTACACTGAACAAATAAGCTGCATTTAACTGTTGGCAAAGTGAATAAACCTATTCCTCACAATGTCAAATTATTTAGATGAGTAAATATATTAAAGTACTGAATTATTCGCTGCTTAACAATATGAAGAGCATGCATTTATG